ACATGAGGAGAGCAAGCAATGACTTTAACCATTGCAATGTGTTCACTATATTTCAAAACTGGTTGTGTTTAGTGTGGGTTCCATACAAAAAGCTGTAAGCATTTGTAATTCATGTTACCCCATGTTGGCAAAGCTAACTCTATATTGTCATATGACCACTTAGTCAGTGAAGCATCCTTTCACACTAAGAAGACGTCAATTTCCAATAAGAGTATGCTATGCAATGACAATTAGTAAAAGCCAGAGACAGAGTTTAAAATCAGTGCTGCTCTATTTACCTCAACCAGTCTTTAGCCATGGCAACCTGTATGTAGCGCTTTCACATGTAACATCTCCGGAAGGTCTAACTATACTAAAGCCCGACAATGATTCAGACATGACAGTCAAAAATATTGTCTACAAAAAATTTACAGTGGACTACCCACATAGTAAGGTCGTATTATATATATATATATATATATATATATATATATATATATATATATATATATATATATATATATATATATATACATGAATCTGATATGCTTATTTGTACTTTTGCAGACAACTGATAATTTCAAAAGCAACTACAGAGTTACTGACTTGCTGCATCCCAGATTAAACAAACATAATAGAATACTATGCATATTGAGCACATTGTAAGTATACACTTTACAAAAACAATTGTTTATGAATCACTGTAAGACGAGGAAGAAAAGAGCTTCCCTGCTCCCCCTATCTCATGCATGAATCCTCTATGCCTCTATGAATCCCCTATGCCCTTCATTCATAACTGAAACATATATTTACAAAACTGCCATCAAGTTAATTCGAAAAAAATAAACAAATTGAAATTGTGGTAGGGTGGGTTTGTTGGAACCTCAGGTTGGTTTGGTTTGTATATGGTATTGGTTAAAACTAGGACAGCCTCTTCGATGGGAAAGAAATAAATCGATAAAACAAATAAAATTTTCCTAGTTTCTTTGGTTTCGACATTCCCAAAGAATTTCCCAATAAATCCCGCAGCTCTGCTCCTCCTCCACTAATATCTCCGGCAGGTTATCGGCGGCGGAGACCAATCGGGCGTGTAGCATTCCGCTTGGGCATCCGCTGGGGCTGTAGGAGTTTTTGGTAAGTGGAGGTTTCTTTTGGGTTGTAGTTTTTTTTTTTGGGGGGGGGGGGGNGGGGGGGGGGGGAGGATTCGAATTAGGAGTATTGCACAATGGGATTGTTTTGTTTCTGGGTCAAATAGTATATTAAATTAGTTTGATTTGCTTTTTCTGTGGTTAAATGGGAATGGAAAGGCAATAGGTTGGAACCTAGATCGACCCGCACCAAAACCAATTCAATTTGTTGTTGATTGTTGGAGTAAAAATGTATAACTCGTAACAACTGATAGAAGTGTGTCTAAACGAGTAAAATTCTAGAAAATGTGTACAACTGGATATAACTAGGGACTACTGATATAAGTTAGGATAACTGATAGACTTTGATATTCAGTTTGATGAATTTGGTCCATTATTTTGGCAGGATACGATGAGCAATCATGTCAGTTTATATTTTCAATTCACAGACCACATGTTCAGTATAACTGTGAAGACATCAGTGGAGGATATGACTTTGTCAATAATAGAAGAGAGAATGTATAAGAAGCTTGGGTTGGATGAACGCAAAGAAAAGCTGAAAATGAGCTACATGCTGATGGTGGTAGGGTGTTCGCGATCTCTAAAAATTGATGATGATGAGGATCTATTTGTCTACCTAACGTTGATGGATAAAGAGAACCGCAGATGTCTTTTGATTGTGGAGAGCAGTGGAAGATCAGATCTGGTAGATAAACTTTTGATTGTGGGTAAAATTTCCGTTGGTATGAACTACCAACAGTTGGAGCCTTTGAAGGAGGGTCTGGAGAAAGAAATTGGACCAAATGCCATAACTTTGTACGTAGAAAAGAAGCAGGGAATAACGAGGTGATAGAGGGTGAGAATGATTGTATGGAGACGGATAACGGTTTCGAGAGTGAGACTGGTAAGAAGACTGTTATGGAGACTGATACAGATGTCGAGATGGCTACCACTGCCGTCACCGGTACTGCAGCCGAGATGGCTACTGCTGCGGAAACTGATACCCCTGGCGAAACTGATACCGCTGTTCCAACCGCTGATAAATATGTTCAACAGCCACCAGTCATAAAATCGACTAAGTATATAGAGGAATGGGTTGATGGTTTGAGTCTCGGTAAGCATGATTAATTTCCAAATAAGAAGGCAATTCAAGAAGTGGTTGATAGATCTGCATATAGTGAGTGCTAGCATTATATGACAAAAAATTCTGATCGTAACCGATTGGTAATACGATGTTCACAAACTAACTGTAAATGGGTATTACAAGCTGCAAGGATTCCTGAGACCGAAATTTTCTCGATTAGAAGCTATAGGAAGATGCATACATGGTCTCAGACTAGTCAAAGTGACAGCAACAATAAGCGAAGAGGTTCAGAAGAACTAGTCTCAGCCTTTTTGAATGATGAATTCCCAGGAGAGTTGGAAACTCCAGTTCCGAAAGTTATTAAGGGTCTGGTTAAGAACAAACTTGGGGTCATTATATCATACTCAACAGCGTTGCGCGAAAAGAATGGAACGGTTTCCGATAGACGTGGTAGTCCGGAAGATATCTACAAGATGATGTATAGCTATTTGTACATGCTGGAGCAAGTAAATGACGGAAGAAAAACTCGTGTGGAATTGGATGGGACATGTAAATTCAAGTACATGTTCACAACATTGGGAGCTTTCACTGAAGGGTTGGCAGTCATGAGGAAAGTGATATTTGTGGATGCGACATGGCTAAAGAATGGATATGACGGTGTTTTAGTTTTTGAAAAAGCTCAAGATCCTAATCGTCACCATTATCCATTAGCATTTGGAGTACTAGATGGAGAGAATCATGCTAGCTGGACTTGGTTTTCCGAGATGCTTAAAACTGCTATGTCAGACTCTTCAGAACTGGTTTTCATGAGTGACAGAAATCAAAGTCTGATCTATGCAGTAGCAAACATGTTTCCACAGATCCACCATGGTCATTGTTTATGGCTTTTGAAGGAAAAATGTGAAAGGGCATGCTTGTAATGTCAACAAAGATGTATTTGGGCATAGATTCATGGAATTGGGCAGATATTACACTGTGGCTGACTTCACTCTACTTACGAGTTATTAAAGACAAGATATCCTTCACCTTGGAAGTATGTGGAGGAGAATACTGAAAAACACAAATGGGCAAGGGTTTTTTTTCTACGTGATAGGTACAACTTGGACACAAGTAACAGTGTGAAATCAATGAACAGCATGTTTAAAGAGGCAAGGAGGTGGGCCTTAATACCAATGTTGGATTGTAACAATCAACATCGGAAGGATGTTGTTTCTGGGTCGATCGATACCAAACTGGTGCCTCTGGTTGATAACTATTTGCACGATCTATGGGGTGTTGCGCGTACGCTACCTGTGCGGGAGCTTAATAGTTATGACCTTGAGTACGAGAACTACGACACTGAGGGCAAGGTGTTTTTGGTAAATTTGGTGGGAAAAACTTGTACTTGCAAGGTGTGGGATTATGAAAAGTTTCCTTGTCTGCACAGACTGGCTGCTTACAGATGTTTCACTAAGAACGTTGATGACGGCATTGGCAGGTGCCGTGATATCCATATACAATATCATGAACTCTGCATAAAATACTACTGGGCTGAACTGTGGGCATTGGCGTATTCAAGGATACTTTATGTTGTGCCCGACAGGTCTTCCTGGATGTACCAGATCACATCAAAGAGCTGAAGATCATACCTCCGGATTGCATCACGCGTAAGGGAAGGAAAAGAGTTAAAAGGCATTCATCGTGTGGTGAACGGTGTAAAAGGACACATAACAAAAGGCGGCCAAGGCAAAACTTTGGTTTCAATTGGTTGTTATTTGGAAATGGTAGTACCCAACCTGCCTGAATTTAGCTATGTCAATTGGTTTTGTACTTTGTTTTGTAATGACATTAGTATTATATGAATCAAAACTTGGTTTTAATAGTTTTTTACTTGTATGGAAACGGAAAACTGCATAAAATTGGTTTTCTACTTTTTTTTGTAATGACATTAGTATTATCTGAGTCAAAACTCGGTTTTAATAATTTTATAGTTAATTTTGGTACTCAAACATATAATTGTAACAAACTTAATCCTTTATTTGGTGTTTCTTTTTTAACTCGTAGTATATGCATTACAAAACCTCGTAATTCTAAACACACTATATTAGAAAAGAATCTGTCAGAAAAGGAATTTTCCACTCACAACTATAACCAATATTATTATGGTAAATTCCAATATAACTATCAATGTAAATCTAAAAATTTGAAAGTAAAACTACAAATCTAAATTGAAAAGATTTGTAACACTGAATATATAGGAAACAGCCAAGTGTATAACTATGACCAATTTTGGTAACACGAGTATGCTCTGTATAACTATGAACAATGTTTTTGGAGGGAATCTAAAACTTCGTTGGCGCCTAAAGCGGTAAAAACAAATATCTCTCAATTTTTCTCCTCAACCACACGTATATCGCTCAATTTTCTTATCTCATCTCTCTCACCCTCTCTCTACATCTCTCTCTCCATCTCTACCTCTCTCTCCTCGCTCTCTTTATCTATCGAAATTTTCAAGAGCTCACAGCCATGACTCATCCGCATGAGGAGTACATGAGGATGAAGGAGTTGAAGGCATACAATGACATGCTTGGGTTTGTGGCCGATGCACAGTACGGGATTCCGACGAGGTGCCCTTGCGGGGGAAGCATTGTTAATGAGGTATCTTCGGTTAATAAATATGCCACAGATTTTGGTACTCTACCGAGGAGGAAATACTTCACTTGCAACAAGTTTGAGGTTAGTTTCATTCCATTTTGAAAGTTGAAATTATGGTATCAATTTGTTTGAATATGACTGATGAAATTAGGGTTCTTATCGCTTTCTCTGTGCAGAATGATAGCCTCCATTTCCGCCAACCATGGGTCTTTGCAATCGAGGATGAGGTTAAGAAGATACTAAACCATGTGGCTGAGATGGAGTCACAGATTAGTGAACTCAGGTCTGAGCTTCACTGTGTTCGGCGTGAAGGCTCCAGCTCAACTTACTAATGTTGTTGTTTAAATGAATGAGATTCCCTTGTACTCCATGTCATGTTCTTGTTTTACTCAAGTTTGTTGTTTATGCATCTTAGAAGTCTCTGCTTTCTGCATGTTTAAAACATGTAAAACTGTCGTTGTTTTGTTTTGTGGTTGTTTAAGATTTCTAAAAATCTAAATTTTGGGATCTTGTTGTTGTTTCCCTTGTTCTTTCTTAATCTCCTAATACATGACAAGTTAAATCCTAATACATGACAAGTTAAAAATAAATTAGATAGACAATAACCAACTTTTGTTTTGCAAAGGAACAACAGCCAGATTGCAAAAAACATAATTCGATAGTAAAAAGCAACAACAAAGGTTCCGAAATACATTATCCGACATGAAACACCAACTTCACTTCTGTGCTTCCTTCACAAACGCCTCAAGCGGATCCAACATTTCCTCGAATTTGTCCAATGTCTTTGTCACTCTCTCTAGTTTTTCCCCAAAACTTTCGATTTCTTGATCACATCCTCCAACATCTTCTTCAGGTCTCCCACTTATTCTGCTCGAGGAACATCTTCAACGTCTTTCTAGCCTTCGAGGACTGCATGTTCCCCGTTTACCTTTCGTGCGGCAATGTCGTCTTCATACACGTCTTCAAAAAAGACTGAATATCCTTCATTGAGACGGTTAATCCACATGTCCACGGCAAGATCTGGCTCATCACGGTCGTCCTCCTCTTCAGTTAGGTCGGCCAAAAGAGCATCTTCTTCCCTACTTCTGATTGGCAGGATGCTGTCAATATCCTGAAACTAATAACCAAAAATAGATTAAAACAGTTAGATACTTGTTCTTAGTTTAATATAGTTTTTCTCATACAATTTTACCAAATTATCCAAGTTTTACCAGGTTTTACTTACTTTTCCTCATACAGTTTTACCAAATTATCCAAGTTTTACATAGTTTTCCTCATACAGTTTTACCATATTATCCAAATTTCACTTAGTTTTCATAAGTTTTCCGTAGGAGTTGTTAGAAACACGTATTGTTACCGTATCTAGTTCCCGATTAACGCTCGCAAGAGGAAACCCTTTCATTTCAGTTTTTTTGAACATAGTCCGGCACATCCTCGGGCACTCTACATCAGCTCCTTCAACTGGTTCCCTAAACCTCCTTCCCAATTTTGGAATTTCCTCGAAAGCAAGAAGCTGCAAAACCAACATTATTTTAAATACGTAACTGACAAATTTTGATGATAATGATAAAGTAATAATGTTCTATTACTTACCTCTAGTGGAAGACAGTAACCTGGAAGTGGCCATAGTGTCTTCTCTTTTGCCAGTCCTCCGAAATGATCCATTGTGTGAGAGATCTCCTGAAGAATATAATCAAAGGAGTATCTACCCCATGGAAAGGACTCGCATACTTTCAGATCAACCACAGCTGTTTGGAAAAAAGCCAATACATCATTGGCTCCAACACCAATTTTTGTTTGCGCGCAAATCACAATTCCTAAAAAGAACAAAACAATCATCTTCAGCCTGTCTCTATGGGGTCCCGTTTCCAAAAGCTTTGCTTTCACATCCTCCAACCTTATTGTTTCTCCCTCTTTGAAATGACGCCTCACAAACGTTTTACTACCCTCTCTATGTAGCCGAGCGAATAGTTCTTGTAGTTTAGGCCTGATATCAAGGTGTGTTCCCTCAGTCCATAACTGATGGGAACACCATTGACAATAAACCACACTTCTCTCCTCTTCGCGACATCAGCAGTACACAATAACAACATCCACATTCCCTGAACCTTGTGGTTTGAGCTCTTCTTCTTTGCATTTGAATTTTCATTTGCATCCAATTTCATGTGGAACAAGTGACAGAATTGTGGATGCTCCTAAAACCACCTCTTCTACACATTACTTGGCAGAGATTCAGAGAGTTAAACGTCTTAACAACGTCTACTAACAAGCACCTTGTCCCTAGATTTATCTGTTTCTTGTACTTCGAAAGATAGAAGAACATCCTGCTTGGTTTGATTGGCTTGGTGGCCTCAAATTCCTGAAAGTTACATTTACTTAACATCAGTTATATCAGTTATACCAAATATTTTTTCTCAAGTTATTAAAATATTCCGTAGTACACCTGCATATTACTAGTTTTACCATTTCCTCATTGTTTCACCAAATTGTTCTACAAATACGTTTAGTTTTACCCATAAATCATAGTTCTACACATAAAATCTTAGTTCTACACATCTTTTCTTCACCAAAACATTAACAATTCTTACCTCTTTGTCATTCTCCCCATTCTCCCCATCGTTGTTGGGGTCAAAATCGGTACGACGGAATCAACGGCCGAAACTCCCCGCAGAAATATAAAAGGAATCGTTTTATAAAACCCAAAGAATCGTTTTATAAAACTCGAGGATCGTTTTATAAAACTCACGGATCATTTTATAAAACTCGAGAATCGTTTTATAAAACCCGAGGATCGTTTTATAAAACCCGAGGATCGTTTTATAAAACTCGAGAATCGTTTTAAAAAACTCGAGAATCGTTTTATAAAACTCGAAGAATCGTTTTATAAAACTCGAGAATCGTTTTATAGAACTCGAAGAATCGTTTTATAAAACTCGAGAATCGTTTTATAAAACTCGAGGATCATTTTATAAAACTCGAGAAGCCGTTTTATAAAACTCGAAGATCGTTTTATAAAACTCGAGGATCGTTTTATAAAACTCGAGAAGCCGTTTTATAAAACTCGAAGATCGTTTTATAAAACTTGAAGATCGTTTTATAAAACTCGAGAAGCAGTTTTATAAAACTCGAGAATCATTTTATAAAACTCAAAGAATCGTTTTATAAGACTCGAAGAATCGTTTTATAAAACTCGAAGATTGTTTTATAAAACCCCAGAATCGTTTTATAAAACTCGAAGAATCGTTTTATAAAACTCGAGAATCATTTTATAAAACTCGAAGAATAATTTATAAAACTCGAAAAATCGTTTTATAAAACTAGAAGAATCATTTTATAAAACTCGAAGAATCATTTTATAAAACTCGAAGATCGTTTTATAAAACTCGAGAATCGTTTTACGAAACCGCGAAAAACCGAAACAGCCATAAAACGCGAACTAGTCGCAACTAGTTCGCCCACCGCCGAACTAGGAGACCCTTGACTAGTTCACCCACCGGCGAATTAGTCCATCTCGACTAGTTCGCCGGTTGGCGAACTAGTCTTGTCCCGACTAGTTCGCCGTTGGACGAACTACTGACTTTGCCCCACTGGTTCTTCTTGCCTAGTTCGCCATATGGCGACCTGGCCAAGCTGAACTAGCTCGCCGTACGTCGAGCCGACCATCCCGAGCCTCGATCTCCCACATCCTTGATTCAAGGCATACGTCCTTCGACACGATCGTATTCCGAATCACGGTCGAAATGTCTCCCGTTTCGTCTCTATCCGTCCTATCGTTCGAGTTTTACGATAAAAACCGTAAAACTTTGTTTTCTCGAAAAGAACTCGAGGAAATCGTATAAAACGGCAACGGTTAAACGAAACACCGAATATTGCCTAAACTATATGATTTATTCGAGATTTTTCGTAAAAATCGTACAAAACGCGTTTTTAATAAAACCCCGAGTAAATCATAGAAAACGGCAACGATTAATCGAAACTTCAAACATTGCTTAGCTTTACGATTAACTCGAGAAACTTATTAAAAAACGGCATCGTATCAGGAAACGATCTCGTCTAAAGTCGTAAAACGGATTTATCGCAAAACGGCTCGGAAAGTCATAAAACGCGATAAAAGCCACTTGCGATTTAAACGAAGTCCAACCCGAAGATACGACGACGTTTTGGCGATTTACTCGCAGAAAGAAGATAAATGTCAAACTTGAAGATAAAAGTCAAGTTTGAGGATAAATAGAAGATTTCCGCGGGGAAAAAGGAAAGATCGAGATAAATGGAAGATTCTCGTTAAACTCGAATCTGGGCGAAATGGAAAGACTAAACCGCTTAGGAAGGGAGTATATAAGCAAGAGTCATAGGGCAGAAGCAAAGGGACGATTTCCAGAGCTCTCATCTAAGACTTTCACAACTTTTCTAGACTTAGAATTTTCCGCACTTAGAAAGTTAGGCTTTTTCTCGACAAGTTCGGTTTCTATGACTGGCGCTCAATTACTAGACGAACTCGCCCAGGCAGTTCAATCTCTGGTCCAGCTCTACCAACTGAACTAGGTTCGACTTGATCCTCGAAAGGGGTACGTAGGCAGCCTTTCATAAGGTTCAGTCCGAAATCAATCAAATCCTTTTGCTTATCTTTTTCCGTCTTTTGTTATCGAGCTGCGACTCGATTAGGTTTAAGGTTTTTATGTTGATAACTCGCTGACGGCCCTGCGGCCAAAGTTTTTGTAAACCCTAGTAATGATCGCAACGCCCTTACGGGAAATCGAAATAAGATCTACTTTTTCTTTAAATTCGTTTTATTACGTTTTTTTTTATTTTTCCGCATTTATTTGGTTACTTGTCGTTGGCTTTCGCAGAGATCCGGTTCCTCTGGAAAATTAGGGTTTTCCTAAGTTTCCTTATTTAACGGAAATCGACAAGTGTGAATTTCGGTTCCCACAGTTTGGCGCTAGAAGGAGGGGGGGGGTCGGATTACTCTTACTCATAGCCGCAAAACGCTTGATCAAAACGATGTCTGGATATATGAAAGAAAAAGTCGCAACTCGCAAAAACACGCTGGTAAAACAACTCCAGCAGCGACTACTCGTACAGCCAACGCCCACGCAAACGCTATAGTACTCAACAAAATCGAAAACCTAATCGCGACTCTTCGCCACGGTAAGAGCAACGAAACAAGCTCACGGTTTCTATCTCAGATCACTGAGGGCAACGATAAAATCTATCAAACCGCGTAGTGTTTTTCCTATTTCCGAGTTGGACAAATCTCACGGGTTGAGCAAAAGACGTTTTCCGAGAACTTTTCGGAAAAATAAAACTTGCTCTCCCAGAAACCGCGGAACAA